GCAACAGTTTTCCAGGCTAGCTCTAAGCAGCTGCGGCCTGCGATCCCCAGGAGGCGGGACGGGAGCAGGGCTGGCCTCTGCGTGTCTGTGCGTGAGAGCCATAGAGCAGTCGGAGTTCTGGTTCAGGCTGCCAGCGGGATTCCTTTCTGGCAAGGGCAGCTGTTCCAAGAGCTTACGAACAGTTCGTGGTAGTTTTGCTCGTTCCATCTACGTGGATGTAGTTACCAAATTTTGAATTTCCGCTGTTCACTGGTGTCTGCTGTTAACCAGTGTCTTTGTTCCTGCGTGATCCACCTCATTTACTAACTGGCCACGGGCAGAGGCAGAGGAATAAAGACAGAGACCTTCCAGTGGGGCAGAAGGACCAGGCACGGCAGACGCGAGGTGCATCTGTGTGTCTGCAGCAGCCGCAGCGGCATGTTACAGCGTTGAGGCCTGGGAAGCCAGGAGAAGTCCAGCCAAGGAAACAGGAGAGGTTCTTTCTCTCCAAAGCATACAGAAACTCTTGGATAATAATTTACAAAACACAAGTGCGAGGGAGAAGTAGGTAGATGTCGTGGTCTTAATTTTCTGCTTGGACTTAGGAACTTTGAGTGAAGTCCTTGTCACTGATTAGCTTATTAACTTTAAATTAAATGGAGCTGCAATTTCGAAACAGTCCTGAAACACAAAGGGAGAGTCACCAGTTTGTGCTATTCTCACACAAAGAGCAATCCCAAGAGGATGGCTTTCTTCATTAAGGAATATACTTGAACACAGTACGACCGCACAGCAAAAAACTTAATGAAGTCACATTCGAAACAGAAGCCTAAAATGGATCATCTGGGTTTTGTTTTGGTGTTTTTTCCCCCGTTCCTGCAGTGATTCTAAGACATATATTCTAGGATGTCATGTTCATTTTTTAAGTCTGTTTATATTACTCAAAGTGCTACTGAATTTTATAGTCGTCCTGCATAGCGGGTTTCATAGACACGGTCTGCCACCTCCACTTTTAAAATGACTGTTTTAGAATATATGCATTTTCAGGAAAGAGAAGATGCAGCATATGCAGATATTGTTCCCAGTTGAATTACTGTGTCAGAGAATCAAATGAAGTATAACTGAAATTGTCTCCTATTACTAAGGTATTGCTGAAATCCTAATGAACCGACCCCACGCGAGAAATTCATTGGGAAAAGTATTTGTAAATGAAGTGAGTATGGGCCTGGCCTGTAAACGTGTTTGGAATCATGATCAATAACTAAATGCAATCAGAATAGTTGTGGGAAATCTGAAACCAAAACTTCATCTCTTGCTGAAGGTCAGTGGGAGACTGCACCGGGGCAAGGCAGGTTAGCCTGAAGAAAAAGAGATCGTGGTATGTCTATACTGCAGTAACTTCAGATGCGGACTGGGCAGAGATACTGGAGTTACTTAAGTTAGCTTACATGAATGCAAGTCCATGTCCTCACTTGCATAATTACAACAGAAGCATACTCATAGTCAGACCTTAGCAGATGACCTGTTCATGGTTGATAAGTTCTAGAGAAAATCTGGCTTGCGCCTGGACAGGAAGGGGAGTTTAAAGTCCAGCAAAGGTTCACCTCTGAATGGAAGAAAAAAAAGAGATGGGGAAACATGTTATTCTGAGGCTGTCATGGAAAGATCCTGCTGGCTCCATGTATATGATTTCAGGAAATTCCTGGCACCTGCAGGGAAAAAAAAAACATGAAACTTTTGCCATAGATTAGGAGCTTGCTATAATTTAGGTAGATACATCCACATGCCTCAAGTTTTTCTTCCTTCTACTCCCTCCCTCATAGCTGTTCAGTGCTCTGGAACAACTCCGCTTCGATGAGAAAGTCCGCGTGGTGGTGTTTAAGAGCGAAGTGAAAGGGGTATTTTGTGCTGGTAGGTAACAAAGGCTCTGCAAACGACTGTTAAAAATTTGACAGCTCTTAGGGTGTGTGCTGATCAGATTGTGCAGAAAAGCAGATGGAAATGCCTGCTGAAAGAAAACGGGGCTGGCTTTTGGGTAGCAAGCAACAAACACGTTCTCTCTTTTGCCTGTCTGCCTCTTGGCTTCAGTGATGAAGACGTGTGTGATGGAGTGAGCCGCACGGGCTGCATGGTGCTACTATTTGTTTTCCAGTTATAACCATCTTCAAGCACAGGTGCCTCTGGTGTTGGAGCCCTTGGTTTGCAGTTTTATGGATTATTGTCCTTACATACAGGGATTGGTGCTCCTCTGTGTGAAACCTGCTCGAAGGGCACAGAGGAGTGCCCTGGCCACTGTTTCAGCCCAGATGTCCACACTCCAGCTGCCCCTGACCTTACTTATCAGAACACTGTATTTCATGACTTCTGAAATGGTCTGTCCTCTGAGAGGGGCAGGAGCGAACACAGTTCAGATGTCTTTTCCCTGTTGCTGGATTCTAATCTTTTTCTCCTCTATTTAGGTGCAGACTTAAAGGAACGTGCACAGATGGATGATGCAGAAGTTGGACACTTTGTTAAAAGGCTGAGAAACCTCATGGATGAAATAGGTAAATTATCTCGGGTGGGAAATTTGTCCTAGACTGCCTGTACGGAGACATTTAGAAATGCTGCAGGAGGGCAAAGATGCTCGCCCCAGCAGGTTACCCATGTAGGAGTAGCTTCCCAAATGGCTCCAGCTTACGCCCAAAACAAAGATCTGATTAAATACCAACTATCTGCTGCTCCAAGGACAAGATGCCTTTCAGTACTGCCTTTTCCATGACAAAGAGCAGCACACGCATTTCATAAGTATCTGCCGTTCTTGAGCAATTTTGAATTTGAGAAGTACTAAAAGCTTTAGAATTTAAGCAGTTAAACTCCAGAAGCGAGTGGAACAGAACTTCTGGAACAAAACTGTATAATCCGTGTTGTCTTCTCTAGCTGCCCTGCCTGTACCCACAATTGCTGCAATAGATGGCTACGCACTGGGTGGTGGACTAGAACTGGCGTTGGCTTGTGACCTTCGAGTAGCAGGTCTGTGTGTTGCTTAACGTAGGATTCTTCTTGTAATCAGTAACTAGATTTTAAAGAGGACTTACACGCATGATAACTGACTATTAATGGAATCCAGTAGGCTAAGAAAGTGTTAAGTTAACACAGTTCAGGAAATGAGTAGGCACTTGTCCAGAAATTGTGACATGTAGTTACTATTGGGAAAGTAGTTTCCTTGCTTAAAAAGTAAAGCCTATTTTTAGACAAAATTAGGATTCCATCAGAAAACTATTTACTGGTAGAATTAGTTATTATCATGTAATATTGGATCAGCACTCTGGCTAGATCTAACCTTCCCTACTTAAATCAGTTTGGACTAGAAGACTTCCTTCTTCTGTTTCCATTCTCCCATCCACTACATTTCATGTAGTATGGACCCAAGGTTCATTTTTCTAGTAAAAATTGCTATGTTGGGGGTAAGCAGCCATACTACACACCCATCATCTGACTCATCTGAGATGGACATTGATTAAGCACTGTAGTAGTCAGACTTTCTAGCTACCTGAAGAAATGGAGTTCCCATTCAGTATTGACAGTCTGTACTTTGATTGATCAGTTCAGTATGGAAAACTTGTAGTTATACAGATCAAAAGGTAACTAAACCCTATATATCTATTTTTTTAATAGCTTTCTCCGCTAAAATGGGCCTTATTGAGACCACGAGAGGGCTTCTGCCTGGAGCAGGTAACCTTCATTAGATCTTCAGTGTCATACTTTCTCAGCTGTATAGTAATTTTGCCATTAGAGCACTTGAAGTGTTTTGAATGTAGATTAGAAGTAGCATCTTACAGTGACCCAAGAGCTCTATGAATGGGGAGTTCTGTTCCAAGCCCTGTCTCGGACTTGCTATGAATTTAGGAATGTCCCTTTACACCTTTTCCTGTTCTTCAAAATACACAAAAGGACACTGAAGCCTTTCAGATGCCCTGCGAAATGTTGACATATTCAGCTAATTCAGTTAAAGAAATACATCATCCCTTTATTTTTCAAACTTTTTTGTTACATAAGGAGACAAAATAGTATTTTTTTTTTTGGGCACTTCTCAGAAATGGCAAATGGTGGTTTTGCTGTTGTCATAAGGTGGAACCCAGCGCCTGCCCAGGTGTGTTGGAATAGGTCTTGCAAAGGAACTCATTTTCACTGGCAGACAGATTGACGGACAACAAGCCTTCTCAATGGGATTAGTAAATCACACAGTGCCACAAAACAAGGAGGGAGATGCAGCTTACCAGAGAGCATTAACTTTGGCTAAAGAAATCCTTCCTCAGGTAAGTGTATTATTCATGTGGTCAATGTAAAGGAGGCAATTCTGCTTCCCTTAAGAGGGCAGACAAACAACTGAAATTCCTTTCTGTGATTAAAGTCTTGGTTCCTGATGCTTAAGTCTCTTAACTTTGTCCTTTTTTTGTGAATGCAGTTTCTGGAGAACAAGTGTTAACGTCCAGCTGCTTAATCCATGGGACAGTTTTATCTCCTAGTTGCAGTTATGCAGACCTGCAGGACACAGTGAAACCTTGGACCCTGTGCATCTATTAACTGTTAGAACCATTAACACCAAATTGGGGTTTTTTAACTTACTGCAAATTTCTATAGACTAAAATGTCATTTGGAGCTAGAATAATGATATAACTACACTGTTAGGAAGTGATGTGGCTTTAATTATTTTAAAATGTTTGTTGTGTTTTTTGTTTTTTTTTTAAAGGCTCCATTTGCTGTGAAAATGGGAAAACTGGCAATAAACAGAGGAATGGAGGTAATTTTTTAAATTGAGGTAAATGAAGCAGACAGGCAGCTCTTACAAATTACTACAGTAAAAATGTTTCGAACAGAGGAGTTACAATCTTTGTTTAGACAAGGCATTTAAAACCATTTCAGGGGTTTTAAAGATTTTCTTCAAAGACAAAATTAATATAGCAGGATTTTTTTTCTACAGACACTAACACTGTAATTCTAATACAGGAGTGAAGGTCACTCACTACGAATGAATGTTTATCGATTTGAGGGCTGAGAAGTTGTTTTAAGGGCTGTGCTTCAGCCAAATCTCACTCCTTCCCTCTCATCCCCAGGTTGACATTGCATCGGGGATGGCTATCGAGGGGATGTGTTATGCCCAGGTAGGTTACGTTCAGAATACATTCCTCAAAGGAACAACTGTACATTTTCTAAAGGCAGGTATTCACAGTGTCCTCTTGTATTTTCCTCTCTGTAAGGGAACACCAACAGCTGAATCTAAATCTTTGAGAACGGACTTGACTGCAGATACCTATTTCAGAATATTAATTGTTGTGTCATGCATAGCTGCCTCTCTCAGCCTGCCTCAGACCAACACCCTTTTGTCTAAAGTGACTGTATATTCTTAGTTTCAACAATATGTTACAGGACAAGCTTCACAAATGGTTTTAACATATTAAGAAAACATTCTTCTGTAGTCATAAGTTTTGAGAGCATGCACCTTTCTCAGCTAATGGAGCAACGTAACTGCGTTTCTCCCAGTGTATTTTGATATGGTAAAGTATTAAATTTATGGGAAACTGTTTTCCTATATAGTTCTCTGTCTATGGTCTTTACCTTAGATGCTTTGCTTGTGACTGAACACTACAACCCAGTCTCTTGATTTTCCTAATTGCAAAACATGCAGGGTGAGACTTAATGCATCACTGAAAGAAAAGCAATCTTAGTCTTAGACCACTACTGCCAAATTAGTCAGTACTTAAAAACACATCAGACTTGTCAATGAAAAACATACCATTTTCTTTTTTTCTTTTTTTTTTTTTTGCTTTGCTTGTGAAATGTAGAATATCCCCACAAGAGACCGCCAGGAAGGGATGGCTGCCTTCAGGGAAAAACGACCACCTCAGTTCACTGGCAAATAATGCTTCCTACCTTGCCCTTGATGTTTTTGAAGGTAAAGGAGGACTGAATCCCATTGATTTCTTGGGATTATTTTTAAGACTGCATTCTGTGTACTTAGGTCCTTGCCTTGGACTGCATTTCTGAATACTCCACTGGATCGTTTTGCTGTAATAAAACAAGATTTAACTTTGTACATCTGATCTTTTTAAAGTGCATACATCTTAAGTCAGTGGTTATGGCTCTCAAACAGATGTCACGTAAGGGGTATGGAGAAGTTCTGACTCAGTATAAGCAAATTTAAAAACAAAATCAAAAAAACCACCAAACCAGAAAACATGATGTATCTAAACACTGATAGGGAGAAGAAAAACAAACAAACAAACATCACTCAGAAGAGAAAGTCAACTTACAACAAAAGAAAACCTTCCTAAGCTTGCTTCCCATTATCAGTGCATTTACAACTAATCAGCCAGCACAAGCAGCACTAACACAGAGCAATGGGGTTTCACACCAGTTCTGTTGTGAATAGTGCAGAACACCGAGCTATCGCTCCAGCCAACTGAACTTAGGCCTCTGGTACCAGTGCTTGAGAAAATGCAAAGCCTCTGTGTGCACGTATATATAGCCACACTATCAGTCCATGCTAGACATCTCAGGCATGTCACCTCTCTCTCATCACCTATTTTCCTCTCTTGTCTGACTGGAAGTTGAAGTTACCCTCTGCTTAGAGGTTCTCCAGTGCTGAGACATGCCACGCACTTTAGCTTCCCTAGACTAGGGCTTTCAAGAAAAAGTGAATTAGTATAATTTGAGAAATGTATTTTTAGTAAATAACTTTATGGATTATCAAGATATACTTACAACATGTGGCTTACCACATTGGAACTGGGGCGTCACTTCATGCTATCATAGTCTCGAAGCAAACCACCATTTCACTTGTGCCAAAAGTTAACCGAACAATTCTGTGGGTAAGGTAACCTTACCAGATTATACATGTACAAGTTTCCTATATAAAGATCTGTAAAGGTAAAGCAGAGTCAGGATCTTCAGCCTTCACAAAAAAGATGGCAAATGCCACAAGTGGAAGACAAGAGTCTAAAAGCTGCTTCCAGAATTATTTTACCCTGGCAGGAGCTCCTGAAGCTGCACAGGAATGTGAAGAGACCTTTCTGTAATCAGCAGGTGCAAGTAAATTTAGTGGATTTGTACCTTGTAGGCATTCATACTTTTCAGCTTAGAAGAATTCTGCTCACTGTTTGTTTGCCTGGAGCAGGCGGGAACAAAACAAGAAGGGTACGGAAAATCATTTACAATCTCTGTGCTTGCTGGTTGCAGAACTTCATGAGGCAACACTTTCACTGTCTGGACTAATGCCAGTATCACATTTGTTTTGTGCTGCACCTAGCAGCAGCTTCCCCCCCCACACTTTTAGTTAAAATACTTTAACAAATTCTCCTGCTACTAGGAAAAAAACAGTACTGTAAGGAGAGTTGTCATCTTTATTTTAAAGTCTTGTAGCAATTGATTTATATTCATTCTATTAACACCAATGTTGACAAGTTTTGTGTTCCATTTCATGTAACGGAAATTTCATTGCATAAGTCCCATAGCAGACATCTCAGAAGGGCTTTGCAGGCCATTTTTCATTTTTTAAACCACCTTCACAATTCAAAGCTATAACCAATTTAATTTCTTTCCGAATCAAGAAAACTGTATATAACCAGATACACACATGAAAATGATGCTAGCCAAATTATACCTTTGTACAAAAAGCAATTACACAACATTGATTAAATTACTGGCTCAGTACCTTTTGAAGTTGCTGAAATACACAATAGCTAGATTATTGAAGATTAGAGGTGATGTTTTCATTTGAAGGATGGGAGTTGGGAGAGGGAAGGAGTTAAAAATAGTAAAATATGGTCATCATGAAGAAGCCATCCCTGCTAGTAAGCTACAAAACATCAGTTTTCTTTTTAAACTCAATTACCAATATATTTACAGAAGAGTCTCTGAACATCAGTCAGTTGCCATGGAAATATGGAGACTAACCAGATAAACAAAAACAATACCTGAAATTGAATTTAGTTTGAGTGCACATGCAGTTTGCTTCCATCACCTGTATTTTATCAGGCATCTATATGCTGTGCAATACGTTTCATTCAACACATCATTTGAAACCCATAGGTAACCCAGAAAGGAGTAAGTTGTTACCATTTATGTAAAATTTCACACTTCACAAAACAATGCAATTGACACAGGACTCACATAGAACATTGGGTGATACTTTGCACTGTGATGACTTGGAAGTATAATTCACTGCACAATACTGACAGAATATTTACAGAAAACCACAGAGCAATCATTAATCTCTTATAAATAAGGTGACCAAATATCCTGGGCCTCCTAGCAAGACATGCAATCCCCTTCACGATGAAGACAAGTCAGTATTTTGCTCTAATGAGCCTTCTCCTTTCCCTAACAGTATTCTAAAAACAAAAGAAAGATATCACACACAACCAAAAGTAGTCAAATAACAACAAAAACCCTTTCTTGTTATCAAGTTTAAAATCAAGCTTAGTCCATCATTTTAGTATTGTGTCTCCTTTTAATCCTGTTTCTATTGCTTACTTTAGCAGGTTTCCCCTTTCCCCGATTCCATGCCAATCCCCACCTTACTAAGAGCAGGGAGGACTCAGGAGAGCTGAGCTGCAAAAAGGCACTGCTCTAGCAAGAAGGAAAACAAAAGAACACAGCTTGCAGGCAAAAGGAAAAGGAAGTTGAAGACCCCATTTGTGTTTAGAAGGGTTATGAGACAGTGGACACTTTGGTCGCCTTAGTTACAAGTCTCACTGTAACCTGCATGCATGTACTTTTGTTTTAATCTGTAGAAGCGTTGAATCTCACAACCACACACAGCTCTATCCAAACATCAAACGGGTAAACAGTGTTATGAACAGCAATCATAGGGATGAAATAACTTTCTCTCCCAGAAGTCATAAAACAGGATATTCCTAAAAGTCTTTTTTTCAGATGTGCATATTGATCTGTACAAGTCCCATCTCCTTGTAGCCATCAGTAATCCTACAGGTACGACCAGCTCAAGCAGCGACCCTTTACAAGTTGCATATGCGGCTGCCATTAAAGTTGACATTCACCAGAGCTTACCGTACATGGTTCTGGGTACCACAATTATCGGCAAATCACTTTAATGGTGACCACTATATTACAAGTTACTCCAAATACACACACATCAGAAAGGATTATTACAGAGACAATACTTTACACTCCTATACCTGCAGCCTTCAGTTTGGTTTATTTTGTTGCTGTTTTCTACACGGAGGGGGTCTTCCATGACGCATAATGTGTTTTTCCAAACTATCTAGGATGGCAATAGCAATCCTTTGGACATGTGGATCAGTCTGGACGTTTTCCTTGATGTTGTACAAGTGCTGTAAACCACCTTCTTCAATTAACATGCTGCAGTACCTGGCAGCTGTAGTAAGATTTAGAAAAAGGGAATTAAAACAAAAAAAGTATCTAGGGTAAACATAGCAGATGTTGTAAACTGACTCAAATCCACTTTCGCCTCTGAGACCAGGTAGCACTCAGGACACTCCCTGAAGTGTCTACAGAGGTGCATTTGTCCTTTAACAGTGACAACAGAACAACAGAGTTGTTTGGACAGCACTCCAATTGTAACTGGGTCTGTTTCCATGTCTGTCTGAGCTGACTGGAAAGTGCCTTGTAAAATGCTCAGCATTCTCTCTCCCCCTGCCTCCTCTACAGGCATTTTAAGTGCACATATATAAATTTTAAGAAATGGGAATCAAAAGTACTATAGTATCTATGACTACCCAAATAAAAATAGCACCTTTACCAAAAACCTCGGTACAGAACAGTTACCAAAAAACTGTATCAGATACACCACATCATTTGTACAGGTGATTCACAGGGTGAATCTAGTTCCTTCGAAAACAGTTTGCCAAATACTATGGATGGTGGCCTTTAAACTAGTTATAAGTTGCTATGAATGCCTTTTCAGGGATAAAATTATACTTTTCTTTCCACTTTCATTATCAGTTTTAAAAAGTTAAAAGCACACCTACATCAGCTCCAGTGTTATTACATGTACGGACCATCTATAAAAAGAGCCACATGTTTAATGCAACATGCAAGCTTCAGAAGTTGTTACCAAAAGGTCAGGCTGACTAATGCAATCCACAGAGACCTCAGATGTGCCAAATTTCACCATTCATCTTGGTGAAGCAACACCAGGGCTGTTCAAAAGCTGACATCAAGCATTTCACTGGGGATCGCATTTACTGCAGTGCTACTAGTATTTTAGTTAAGTTAGCTCATTGAGGTGGATATGATACAGAGAAACAGCAAAAGGAGAAAACAAAAGCGAAATCAATCACATTAATTCCAAACTCCTTTTGACCCTCATCTACAAGAGAAGGTCAAATTAAAATGTATCTCTTCTACAGGACAAAAAGCCTTCTTGGTGCCACACACCAGAAGCTTAAGATTTTGCCCCCAAACAAATCCCCATATTTCAGAATTAAACACATTTTCCCTCAGAGTAGGTTATTACATTTGCTACCAAACATTTGGTTTCTCTGCAACTTTGTCCAGAAGCTTCTGGCACCAACTACCATCAGAACTAAACTTCAGGAATACTGACTTGATCTAATCTCAGGAGTACGCCATCCAAGTATTTCCAGCCTTTCCATTCTACAGAGCAGTTATTCACTGTCAGTACAAACCTCTGTGGCATGCTGAAAGCCCAGAGGTTAGGGCAGCACAAAATAAACACTAAAAATAACAAGAACAAATAGGACCGTACTAAGTTAACAGGACTGAGGCACAAAGAGGGAGAGAAAGCTTACTTTAATTACGCAGAACTACAGGGTCTTAATCAAAAACTGTCATCCAGAGCCTGACCAGTAAAATAACTTTGAAGTAGGACTGTTCTGACAATGTGGGAAAAGTCCTCGCAGATCTCTGGGCAGCATAC